AGTTTTGAGCCAGTCGATTAGGCCTATGTGTGGCAGGGCAAGTGGTCGGGCGTGTTACTAAAAACTTCCTTCCAGGTTCCAATAGCAACTGGGGCCCTTGACTTGGTCAGGGAATTTGCTTCTGTACCGTTGGATAGCCTCAGTATTTCGTGTACATGCATCTGGCACAACCATCCTTGGGTCTCCTTTTTTAGCCATGGGGTGCAGGTGTTCCCAGTCTGTTGCCTCTCCACAGAATGTTGCGTCCTCTCCCCTCCCTTAACTCTCAGCTCCGCGTCTATGTGTTGGGTTGTTGCTTGACCGTACCCTGGAGTAACCAAGGATAAGTGGATCCTGGCAGGTTCAATAAATGCGAAAGTAAATGTGTTTCAGTATGTGTTGCACTTTAGGTCTGCTATTTCAATGTGGCATGTACATGTTTAACCGGTAACCATACCGACATCCAGAGCGGAGGCTCTTACGACGGTTGACTTCACCATACACAGTTCACTTTTGGCCACCAATCCCTCTCAACCTTTCGACTCCGTCGCACCGAGCCTCCCTCTGGCACCCCCCTGCGTCCCCCAACATTGTCTGTCTCCCTCCTCTTCCTCTGCTACCTGCTCGTCAATGTACGAGGAGGGAATCCAGATGACAGTCGGCTCACCAGAGTCCTCCTCGTCCCTGATGAGCCCGACCTTTTACTGTACAAGAAGCCATGAGGTGCCCCTGCTCCCCACAGTAAAAACACCTGCCCTCCTGAATGCGCCGAAGACGTTCCTCCGGAGTTAACTTTGCCCGACCCAACTGCATGGGCTCATCTGAGACACTAGGGAGCACTCTTCTCTCAGGAGGAGTATCGGCAGGAGGTCTCCAGGCGGGACGATGGCTTGGTGTGTCCCCTTGGTGTCGAGGCAGACGTGCCACATTCTTGAACCTTTCTTTTTGTCTTTCGGCCAGTCTATTGTCTATTCGAACTGCCAGTGCAATGACAGAGTCCAAGTCTTCTGGGAGGTCCAAAGGTATTAACTGGTCTTTAATGGAATCCGAAAGACCAGACAAAAAGGCGTCGAGCAGTGCTGACGGCCGGTCAGGTCCCTCACCCCCAGGTTGATGGGGCCCAGGTGCTCCTCATGCTGGTGTAGTCTCGATCCTTGAGCTCGCAGAGCTATCTTCACTGTCTCTGAATCCGCTGGGTCCATATTTTGGTCAGTTCATACTGTTATGGACCGAGACACAGGACGTAGGACCCAAAAGCAGGACTCGAAGACAGTTGTCCAAAAATAGAATGTTCTTTAATAACAAAACTTAAATCGTACTTTCAAAAAATAGAAAGCAGTTAAATAGCCAAAGCTAAGTTGTACAGCAACACAAAAACTCACTTGGCAAAAGGTCTAAATCTCAAGGTAGGTATCAGGAGTCAAAAAGGCCCAGGTTCTCACGACATGAAACATAACGAACTGACAAAGGAACAAAGAAACACCAGGGCTATATATAGATGAGGGGGATGGGCACAGGTGAAAACAATCAGGGCAGGGCCAAGCAATCTCAAGGGCGGGAAACACACAAAGGCAGGAAATGTGGGATCTGGAATGGGAGGAAAGATTACTTTAAAATAAAAACAGGAAGTGGCAAGATCAAAACACAAAACTAGAGTAAAACATAACTAAACCTAACATATCTGTCGAGTCACAACACAGAACAGGAAAGGAGACAGTAGATTATGTCCTCCACATTGAAATCCATTATAAAGGGATGTTCTAATGGCCAGTATTATCAGGTGGAATGATTACAGCAAGGAAAACCTGTTTGAATGAACATATGGGCAACTGACGACATTTAAAAAAATGTGCACCTACCCTTAAAGGAACCCATTCCATTTTCAGGTCTAACTTTTCTATTGACAAAGTTTGATCTGGAGGCTGATGTAAAAACAATCAGAGAGAAAGCAGAGAACCCTGTCACCCAAACAGTGCGAGTTAAGGAGGCTCTGATGAATATCTTTAAAATACCTTTACATATTATATTTTCTACATCGCACTTAGCCATATCTAATACTATCCTATCGTCTAATGCATAGGCTTTTGTCCATGATAGTTATTATTTGCCACAAAAAAAAAGTCTATAGAAATATTTCTTTAAATTAATTCCACAGCATTTCATGTTGCAGTTTCTCCCCTAACAGCATTAGTCCTTCATATTCTTGTCAACACACCATCTCTGTGGTAACTGGGGGAGAATTATAAAATTGTTCTAGATTTTACTATGTGCATATATAGCTAGCTTTAGCTGAGACAAGACCCTCATGAATGTGAATAAAAGCCACTTTCTTTGGATATTTTAAGTAATACCGAGTCCTTTACATAGAAATCTGTCCACATGCTGTCATAGGCAACTGAGAAATGTCGGGAAGGTCTCAGTTCTTAATTTACATACAGTTGTTAACTAATCAGCAATACTAAGCAATTAAAACATGTACATTTTTACACTGAGATTCTTTATTGTTTTTTTTTTTTATCATACGTTTTTTTATTGCAACATCTTCAATTTACAACACAGTACAGAAGACAATCCAGGTTGCACAACATTTTAGTTCATTTATTTGAACAATTAGATAGAATACAATGGAACACATTTTCTATGGTTCCACATGGGTTTCGTTTAGAGTACACATACTAGTTCTACTTTCAGTTTGACAGTGTACTATTTGTTACCTATAATTGCCGGTTTTAAATTGGGGACACACAGGTCACACTGATTTATGGTGGATGTCAGGCACAGTCTTCTGCTTCCTGCCTGAGAAATAATTTCCTACAGGCTCACTGCGTATTATCACCACTGCAGGTCTGCAGAGGGAGAGTAAAGAGAAAGCTTGACCCAGATCAAGTGCTAGGGTCATCATCGTTAATGAGAGAAAGCCAAAAAGCAAAATGAAATCATACCAGACACATCAGAAAAAAGGCAGCAGAGGAAATGGTTATTTTGTTAATAAATTGTGTTTCACAGGAGTTTGATTATTCAGGGGTTTTATGTGAACACTTAACAGCACATTGTGCCAGTTTTTATCAAAACATCTTCAAGGTAAAACTTTGAGACATCTTTTTGTTTATGTCGATACCACAGCTGTTACTGTGTTGAGTTCAGGGGAAGCAGCTAAACGAAGAAAATTATATCGGTTTTCAATCTGCTTTTAGAGAAGAAGCTTTGATAAACTGACTGTATGCTAATCGCCAGAGGTGGGAGTAAGTCCTACATGTGCAAGTCATGAGCAAGTCTTCAGTCTTGACCTACAAGTATCAAGCAAGTCCCAAGTCACTGTGGTGAGAGTCAAGCAAGTCAAGTCAAGTCATACGAAATGCTGATGAATA